TGGTTCAAATCGTCCGGGTCGAAACCCCCCATGTAGTCCGGGTCATTTAGGTACCTAATTATGTTATGGAAGTTCAATTAATTAATTGATAATATAATTAATTGGCCTCTCAATAAAGGAGAGAAAAGTAAATTTAACCTAGGAGAAGCGGAGATTGTGATTAGCTTGGCGAAAAGGTCGGGCCGGGTGATGGAGGCAATGACGCCGATCATGGCCGAGACGGAGTGGCCGACGTAGATGCAGGAATTCAAGTGAAGGTCATCCAAGATGGAGATGACGTCATAGGCGTAGCCTTCGAGGGAAGAATACCTCTGGAAGTCGAAGTAATCGGGGTTTGTTGTGCCCGCGCCCATATTGTCGAACAGGACGACCCGGTAATCGTCCACAAGGTGCGGCACGAGATGCTTCCACAGGGACTGGTCGGTGCCGAACCCGTGGGCCAGGACGATGGTCTGCTGACCCGACCCGAGGACCCGGACGTTGTGAGCATCTTGGACGATACCCATGATTATTTATTTTTTTGCGGGTTTTTGTGGGAATTGGGGAAGGGGAAGATATTTTTTCCGGTGGTTTTGTAGGCCAATTTTGGGGTATGAGGCGAGGAGATGACGAGAACCACATGTTTGTATAGATATTTGTTGATGTTTGGTATTTCACGTTTATTGATTTTTTTCGTCTTTTGCTACGGTACGTAACGGATTTATGGGGTACCTAACTAATGGAGATCTCCAGTTAATTAAGATCTTAACGCTACCAACTTCCGGCTAAACAGTATACTAACGGGTCATTTCTCATAATTTCTAAAGTTACAAATTTAAATACAAAAAAAATTGAATATAAGTATACACAATATTTAATTTTAAATATATTTATATAGTTTCAGTTAAATTACTATAATAAAACAAAATCAATTTTTTTATATTTATAAGATTACGTTGACGTATAATAGATGTTTCTCCTTATATATCAAGTAATTCTATTTTATTTTGTTTTTCAAAATGTTAATAAAATTTAGTATGCCAATAATTTTTTGGATAAAATAAGTAATTAAATACAGTGATCAAGAATGGGCAAAGTTAATCTTAGTTATATTATTCTAAGTTGTTAGAGGGCTAACCGTTAACCTAGCTACGAGTTATCATTAATGGGTTCGGGCTACAAGATACGGGTCAAAATGTGTTGGGATAAATACGCCGACACTACAGGCTTTCACCATTTGACATCTCTAACTTACATATTAAAGCATGGAACTCAGATTAGATTGTCACCAGATAATTTTATGTTTATAGATGATAATTGAGGTGCAATTACATCGGGTGGCTCTCACATTAATAAAGTGAGTAGCGACACCTCACTTGCATGTATCACTCATAAGAAATGAAGGGGTCTTCTTAATTTCTCAGACAATGTTACAAATTTAGTATCGATTACAATGGAAAATTTATGAACTAAAGCTAATGTTACAATTTGAAACGATAAAATAGAAAACAAAAATACAAATTGAAAACAGAAAGAAAGTTGAAGCGAATATTGTTCTTTGTGCAAGTCGAATACGCCTCGTAATGTTTTGACGGATTCAGGCGTCTCGTCCCCTAAGATACACCGACTGACGTCTCGAAGGTTGTAGCACAACCGAGCTCCGACGAACTTTAACGAAATTGAGAATTGAGCAGTATATATATGCGCGAGTCTATGAGAGGAGTGCAAGAATGCAAATGAGATTGTAAGTGCCCTTTACAATTCTATATCATGTCCTATTTAATTATAGGACTTTCAACACAATTGGGAGACCTCTAGTGTTCAGCTTGTAACAACTCAGCCAGCAACAACCCACTGATGACTGTAGTATATGGGCAAAATGTTTTAACGTATTCAGGTGTTAACTCACCTTCAATGGCCACCTGATAACAACCAAAAATGTTAGGTGGAAGGTCACATGTCTAGGTTCAGTGAACATAGTAAAGGTCATCTGTTGGGTCTCAAAACCAGAGTCCAAATTCTACTTAATTTGGATTTAAATTTGAGCCACAAATTTGTAAATAAAATTGCAGCAAAGATGTCTTGAGGTCGTCATATGGGAGAGAGATGTCTTGAGGTCAGCGTCTTTCGTCTTGGTTGAAATGCTTCTTGATATATATAGTGGCTTCGGGAATGTCGTCTGTACTAATTGTGTCTTAGTCGACTTAATTCGGGTCGACAAATTTTGAGTATCAACAATACTACTCTCTCTCTCTATCTCTATCTCTCTCTCATTCTCGGCTCATATGAAAATAACGTTCTCAACATGAAGGGCTTTATTTTCTTTCGGTTTCATTGATAGGAGAAGAACCTTACTCTATAGGGGCGCTAGCGACGCCTTGAGTGAGCACAGAGGTATGCATGTCATTACCAGCCCCGCCTCGCCGGTCGACGCTATCGCGGCGTTACGCTTGTTCGCCTAAAAAACGAGAGTTGCGAGAGAGAGAGAGAGAGAGAGAGAGAGAGAGAGAGAGAGAGAGAGAGAGAGAGAGAAACAATTCATAGGCAAAGACGGATTCATAACATTCGAGCAGACAGGAAAGGGAAACGTAGAACAAGGAAAGATGGAAGGACTAAAAGTCGGATTCTTGTAAGTTTTATGTACAATTTAATTAATGCAAAGATTTCTATTCTATATATGAACTGATAGAATCGCATGTTTCTTCCGTCTAATAGTTATGAACATGGTTTAGAAAACCGAAATAGACTGACCGGTCCGACCAGTTGGACCAAGAATCAGTCAATTGATTGGTCTGGTTCGATGAAATGAACCGATTGTCAGAGAACCGGTCAACGACCGGTTGAACCACTCTAAACAGGTCATAATCGGCCAAAAATCGGTCCGGTCGGACCGGTTTGAACTGGTCCAGATTTTTAAAAAAATATATATATTTAAATACAAATAAAAAATTTATATCTAAATAGAATGAATATATATATATATTTGTATATATGTATATGTTATTATTAGTTAGTTTAAATATTTTAATATTTTAAATTGGCTTAATATTTAATTAACAAAATTTTATATATTAATTTTGTTATATAAATATTAATAAATTAATTACCAGTCCAATAGTTCAATTATTGGGCGGAACAGCGCACCATTGGACCTAGACCCGGCTCTGGCCAGGTCCCAATTAAGGAAAGAGGCATCGGGCTAGATATTCACATGTTGTTTTGAGAATTAGAATAAATATTACTTTGTACCTCCCATGTATATAATATATATAGGCCCATTATAGTTTTAAGAGTGGAACAAAATATTACTTTGCAATTGTACCCCACTTTTTATTTTTACTTTTTTCTTAAGAAATCCTTACATTTTAATTATCTTTATTTATTGTTCAAACCTCTCATAATCGTAACTCCTCGACACCAAGAAAACAGTAACAGAAATGGATGTTTAAAGTTAAAATACATATTCACCAGAAAATCTATGGAGTCATCGGATGGCTCCCTTATGAAGTCATTTATAATTTTTTGTACTGATACGTGTCCAATATATATTTATTGCAGGACACGTGTCAATACATCATTTGTAAATAACTACGGATGGCTCCATAAACCGAGCCATCCAATGGCTCCATAACAAAACCACACTATTCATATCATTATACAAAAGCATTTCTTTATCGTATTCTCATATTTTTTTCTGAAACAGAGTTTTTTTATTTTTTATTTTTTTATTTTCAATAGTGAATCTATAACCAACCACAATTGCATCAAAGCCATCAACGATATATCCTTGTTTTGTTTTTTTCTTCAAGTTAAAGTGTTGAACATGAACACTAAAAAATGAAAATTTACAAATAATAAACAATGCATTGATGAAGAAGAACAGAGAATGAAACATATAGGGGAAGCGAGATAATTGTGCCCAACATAATGAAAACCCATTTTGGCAATAACTTTATTCACAAACCGAATAGACAAGTGAGACAAAGGTTTCAGGATAAACAGGGTTTATAAATTAATTATAAACTCACCTAAAAAATAATTGTACTATCTCACTAAATAATAGCAACCCCATAAATTGTATACCATAAAAAATAGATAAGCGTACACAATTTTGAGGAAACTTCTACAATTCTGACGTCTAATTATTTTTACGAAATTATTTTTATGAAATGGCATACATTGCACTATCTTTTAGAATTTGAAATCTCCTCAACATTATCTTTAGTGCGTGTTATGATTTTTTTTGTTTTTGTCCATTCTTGTTAGCTTTTGCCATGAAATTGCACTTATCGTTTGAGATTATACGCATCCTCATTTTTAAGAAAAATTAAAAATAAAAATGATATTAAATAAACTATTATTTGCTCTACATTTAAAATGTTGTTTCACTATCACGAAATTGACATTATGTGGCGTGCAATTAGACAATAATTTTACGTGCAATCAATTGTGTCACACATCTTTTCGATCGAGCAATAATTTGTTTGGTGAATATATTTCATACTTTTATCTGCCTCTCGTGCTTCTCAACAGTCGTAAAATGCCATTTTGATATTCCCATGCAATAATAAAAGCAGTGCTTAAAGTTTCACACTTTAATCATGAAAGCCACTCCACCGCTATCTTTATCATTTGAATGGGAACATTTCTAATCAAAATCGATCTCAACTCAACAGTTTCAGTAGTTTTCCCCTTTTGTACAATAAAAATACTCTGTGTAAGTTCAATTTCAAAGAAGTACTGTACTACATAAATGCCTCTATCACGAGTGGTATAATTGGAAAAGAAAAGGAAAAATGCTACTACAAATTGAGAACTAATTAATTAGAGTTTTCAATTTTTTTTTTGTCTTGTAATTTCGATAAGCAACTTATGTGTAATTTACCAACATAAACATTTCGACACTCAAATCAATTAATTTTCTTGTAATTAACCTAAATTATTTTTTTAGAAATAATACAACACCAACATAAGAAAAACTTAAACTAAAAAGTTACAGTAAAATGAAAAACAGAGAGCTCTCAAACTTCATCTTCCTCGAGCGAGAGTTGTTTCAGCCACTCCGAAGTTCGATGATATGACAGCCGCTTTTTTGCCGCCCGATTTTTTACCTCCACACACTCACCTTCGCTCGAGCTCCTCGTTATAACCATAACTCTGCTTCTAACTGTATCAATCGCATCCCCGGAGCACTTGCACCCGCCAATCGAACTCAGATTCTTCCGGAACCTGCTCAAGCTGCTCCGGCTGCCGGCGGAGCTCCGGCAGCTCTCCGTGCTGTTGCGGCTCCCGATTCTCCTGGCGCGTGGCTTCAGGCCCTGAAACGAGATCTCCGGCGGCGCCGCCAGCATCCCCAGCCGGAAAATGCTCCACGCCGGCGAGGCCTTGGCGGAGCTGTTCCGGCGATTTGTGGTGACCGGGAAATGGGATCTCGGAGATGGGCTCGGATGGGAGTGGAATCGGTTTCGTGGCGGCGGAAATTTGGGACCGGCGGAGCTGCCGCTGCTGGTGGATGACTGGCGGCTGCCGCTGCTGCTGCTCCGGCTGGAGATCGGCCGGTCCATGGATTCGGATCTGGTAATGGGTCGGGTCGGGCAGTGGTGGAGAGGCAGAATTTGGCCCCGGAAAAAGATCTCATCGGCTGTGCGCATTTTTTGGGATTCTTTTGAGAGAGAGCAGAAATCGAAGTCGTCGTGGATTTGGTTCTCTCTTTGAGTATTGAATTTTTCTTGTTTTTGGTCATTTTTGGGGATGAGTGGGAGAGCGCTCAACGACAGCGTTTCGTCTTCGTCGTCGTCTCTTTCTACTGAAGAATTTAGGATTGTCAATCTCTCGTTTGCGACAATATTTTCCATTTGTTGGCTGCTAGAAAAAAGGAAGTAGAAGAAAATAATGTATTTGCTAGTTGTGTGCTGTTTTTGAAATTTCGACCAACATGCTCTGGGCTTTTTATACCGCAATAGAAAAATAAAATAAAATAAAATATAAACAAAGACAAGGATCTGAAAAAGAAATAAAGATGTTTTTTCATGTTTTTTAGTCTAGTTAGTGATTCGATTAAAAATAATCAGTTTTTTAGTCAATTTGAAATTGAAATAAAATTATATTATTTGTTCAATCTCACTATTTATTTTTGACAATCGAACTAGCACAATTAAATTATAAAATAAAATAATAACATAACAATTATTATTATTATATATATATATTAAGAAAAATACTATGCATCTACAATTTCTTCATATTCATTTACGATTTCAAATTGATTGCACTTGACCCAAAATAATGCTGTGTACTTATTGTTACTAATTTTAAAGTGATGCGATACGTAAAATATTATATCTGTTATGTATTAAAGTTTACATTTTTTATGTTATTGCATGATTCAATACAATATTGGATGCTTTATGAGCCAGCCCACTTCCATTTAACTAGAGCGTGCGCTTCAATAATAATTCTACTCATTATTGTTGGAGAAAATTAAATTGAAAAATGATTCAGTCATTTTATGTGTTTATGTAGTGCATAAAGTGGGGCGGTCATGTAGTAGTAAAATTTTGAAACAGTGAGTTTTTAATTTCTTTCTTTCTTTCTTTCTTTCTTTTTTTTTTTAATTATTTAATAATATTCAAATTGTAGCGGCACTGTCATAAAAAAGGAACAGCTTTTGTTTGGTGTTTTTGTGGGGTTAAAAATATTTGTGTGGAACATTAATTTACAGGTGATGACCTAATGTTTACAAACATTTCCAGAATGTTTCTAAAAATATTTGTTGACAGATAGTGATGTTAGATGGGAGGTTGCTCGAAAATGGGTTAAATTTGAGGACATATATGTGGGTTGGAGTTTTTATTTAAATTTATTTCCATTAATTTCATTTTTCTTAATTTTAAATATTCTTTAAGCTACAATATCCAACTGTATATTTGGTAATTTGGGCGGTCTAAATTTGCTCCCAGTAGGATCCTGAAGATAATTTGTACTACGTCTTTTGTTAGGTGGATGACCTAAAAGTTAGACGGTCAAATATTCATTTTCAATATATTGATACTCAATTTTGTCTGACCATAAATAAAGATCCTTAAGAAATTTATGGCGTCATCTTTAGCCAAACCCAGGCACGTACGAGGCACGTACTCAGAGTTTGGATATCTGTGTAGACAAATTAAATTTGTGGTCAATCAAATGACGCTACGTGAAAATTAATATATTAAAAATAAAATCATATTTTTTATTCACATTTTATAAATCTCCACATATTTATGTCTTAAAATTTAAATAGTTATTTAATTAATATTTTAATTTTTTACCAATCAAATAATGTCAAGTGTCAAATCTTATTTCTTGATAAATAAATCACATGTCTTCTAGAAGATCTTGGGAGATTTAAGTAGATCGAGAAGATCTTATGTGAATCATAATTGACCAATTAAATTACTTCCTACGATTCTTAAATTTGATAGGGTTCTCTCTCCTACACCTATAATTAGAGACTCTCCCTAAAGCCAAAAGCATACACATCATATATCATATTCAAGTTCAAGAGTTGTAGAGATTCTCTCTACGTGATTCAAGTGTTTTTGAATATTCAAAGACGTTCTTGATGATTCGAAGTAAGATTCAAGCGCGTCCAACCTCAAGACTGGCGTTTAATTCGGAAACAAGCTGTCAAGTCCCCGAATTACATTAGCAAAGTCAAAATCAGTGCGAAGAAGATTTAAGATCTACTTTGCGGCGCAGACCAAAGACCAGTGTTCTGATCACGTTCTTGGATATAACGACATTTTATCCGAAATCAAGGCATTGACCCTTGGATTAACGTCAATTCATGTCAATCAAATCAAGGAGAAGATCAAGCCGAAGATTTCGCTCCAAGACTCAAAATCATTCGTGAGAAGAATCAGAGGACAAAATAGAGATTGTAATCCACAATATTTATTTATATTTGAGAAATTCATTTGTAAAATATTTTTCGTGTTTATAAATTCAATACACGAAATTTGTTGTTACAATATGGAAGTATTACCATCAAGAAGAAAGATGTCGATCCCTCCAACCAGCTAACATCGTTCCCAGCTACGAGGGAAACATGTCAACACTCCTAGAAGGAAGGCTATCCTCCAGCTAATCACATCCCTTCCGAGCTCGGTCCTAAGCCAGTGCGAAAAGGGTTACTGCTCTGAACCAGTTCTCGATGCTTTATAAGATAAATCACATGTTTAAGTTGTCGAAGACGACACCTTGCATCCTACCAGAAGTCGGCATGAAATAATATTTTAAAGACTTTTCAAAATGAGGGATCCGGAAGCCCTACAGATCATTAGTTTACACATCAGTGAATACATTCAAAAAGCTATGTAATCTTGCTTCCTTTCAAAACTTTCCCTTTTTTTTTGTAGATTTTCATCTAATTTCAGCCCTTCGGAGGCTTGTACACAAAAGTGCCCTGGAATGCTCCATCCGATTAATAATATAGTAGTTGTAGGCGCCTTAACGCATCGACAAAACTAGCCACATACTCATCTTTACTTTTTGTCATAAACATCTTATTATCCACCCTAAAAATGTTAAAACACATAATAACACAACCATCGTCTTGGTGGCTTCGTTGGCGTAAACATAATTAAAAAAAATTGCGCTAGAGGAAGGTCACCATCGAGCATCTGAATCCTACAATGATTCATGGTGTCATTCGGTTAAACACTCAACCAACACTCATTATCCCGTTACGCTGCCCGCACAGAAGGGTACCAATGCCGACCCACCGTTGTTCACCTTATTGGTCTTTAGATTGACGATCGGGGCAATCGATTACTCACATAATCTTTTTTTTCCCTGTTACTCCATCCGAACTGATATTTCCAGACACTTTCTATACAAAAAACCATTCCTTTTATCCCACCATAATGACAAACATAAAATTTGAAGCCTTCTTTCAACCTTTCATTAGTTCGTCCTTGACAAGAACACTGGGAGGGAGGGGGGAAGAATTGATCAGCTAGTATCTTAAACAGCCACTGTGTGGCTCGGCGATCTGTTTTTATCTTAATAGCTCATTTACAACTTTTACTCCCAAATCATGTATTTGCTAAGGCTCGAGGCACCACCAAACCCTCCAGGGCAACTGCGATCTGGTACTCGGTCAGAGCCATCCAGAGGATGGATTACCTTCCATTGCCAAGAGTTGGAGTCCTGATGGGGAAATATCTCAGTTGTGATCCCCCAAGAGAGACCAAAGAACACCTCACGGAAACCATCGGCTTTTAAGTTCTAGCAATAAGACAAGGTTGAGAATTTTCCACTATTAGCGTCGATCGATGCTTTTTGAGGTGGAGCAGTGACGTTGACGCTCCCAACACGAACGAATATGGAGAACAAACAAACCGGCGATCTCGAGAACACTAGACGAGAAGATGTACAATTTATTGTACATTGCCATGAGGATTCATTAATATCAACCTAAAAATTTTTAATATATAATGACCACAATCTTTTCATGGATGACTAATTAATAAATAAACTCCCAGAAGAAGTTTAAAATACAAACTAAAGAGATCGGCAACAAATCCCCCTTAAAAGACAAAGAACCCATAACGAACAACATGACTCTGTCGATCTTTCAAATATCGAGAGCTAAGACCAGATGAATAGATATCGATGACCCCAAACACAAACCAATAAAAACTGGAAGGACCAAACGGATAATGTCTGCCTAATAAACCTGGTAGAAATTGATTCAGTTAGGCAATCGAAGACCAGGGATCGAGACTGGATAAGTGAATTTGGGTGAACTCCGTCTCTATTAAATAGAACTGGGGTTCAAATTTGAATGAATACATCACCGCTGAACCGACCAAAGGTCCAAAACTAAAAAAAAGAATACCTATGGAGAGTAGCCCGAAAAATCCAACAGAAGATGGTTCTATCAATCCAAGGATAGGGGCAAGACCGGACAAGTAAACATTGACGATATCGAACACTAAGAATCGGGGGCAAGATCTGAATGATCAACACCTTAAAAAATACAAAGGAATCCAAAAGGCTGCCCGGGAAGCCATGAACCAAATATTCTGCCTTGCCACAACAACATCAGCTAAGTCCCCATCCAAAACTTAAAAATTCCATCTAAGGAGGCAACAACTTCTCCTACACTATGAAAATTATAGATTCCAGAGGGAGTTAACCGTTCCCTACTACATATTGCTGTTTAGTAGAGATTTGTGGGTATGTGCTAACTGAGTTACCAGACTCGGGTCGTTCTCTAAGGAAGGCTATTCGGAGCTTCGGTTGCTATTCAATTGTCCAAAAACACAAAACGAGAAAAATAAACCCCAAACATCCTAATCAATAATTGGTGGTTGATTTTAAACTAGATTAACTAAGGAAATAAAGCAATCAAGCAATTAAACGAGTAATTATACTAGAAACCCTAGCTTACTAAACTAGAGAACTCAAAATCAAGTAAAAAGAGTGAAAACAAGAGAAACGAACTCCATCTACTACACTTAATAGCTAAAGCGAAAATCCTACGACGAAATAACCGAGCTCAATAGCAAAGTCACGATGTTTCAACTAGAAATTCACACTTCAACCAACTCAAGCACAATAGACAAGCTCAAAAACAACGAGAACACGGAAAATAACTAAACGAGCAAACATAATCCAACAAACGAGCAATCCCTAATCACTTCTACTAACTACGTAACAAAATAGGTGCACAAAAATCGAAATTATAAGCCTTAAAATTAAGTACTTGACCGTGCGTCGCAACGCGGCAAATTTAAATTTATAATGTTTTCGTCGACTAACCTCTACTAACTAGTAGCAGTGGTGAATAAGGGTCGATCCCACGAGG